GCGGTACCGGGCTCCCAAACCTCCCCTTCCCACCTCCTGTAGCTTATCCGTGTCAGTCGCTCATTCAGCATCGTCTTGGAAAGCGAGGCGAAGCGGTTATAAGCGAGCCCTGCGATAGCGCGTTTGTTTTGCAGCAGCAGCCTGCCCCCCTCCTCCCCCCCGGCTGGCAAGCGGGTGCCGAAAGCCCATTTGAGCTGCGGCCGGCTGTGCCAGCCCGGCTCGGGGAGTATCGGAGTTTGCTGCGGAGATGCCACTGTAAATAGCTGCCGCACGCACAAAACTTCTGTGCGACAGCAGCGTCGTGTGGAGCGGCTGGCTGGAAGCCCGCGTCCGGGCTGCTTGCTCTGCTCCTGGAAATGGTGTTGGTTAGAAAAGGAGGAATTTTAAAAATACCGTTTGACTTTTGTATTGAAGCCTTTGTTATTATTTATATTGGTACAGCTTTGAAGCCGTAATCATGCCTGCAGCCCTGATGGCAACATGACCTGTAAAAACCCACCTTGCATCCTACCGGGACTTGTAGTCCAAACCAGAGAATTTCAAGCGTGGCCACATGTGAAATTAATGTGTGACCATAACACGAATTTGTCTTTCTGGTTTTCTGTTGTATTTTGTATCTATCTAAGACAACCATGAACAAGAACTACTCCAAAAATCGTTTTGCAGCTTTGATGGCAAATCTTACCTGCTGGAAAGTCACATGTTGGATTCAGACCTGGCACAGCCATGGCTCGCTCTCTGTCTCATCTCAAGCCTTTAAATTAACCGCATGCTGAAAAAATAGCGGATGTTGGAGATGGTGTTGATTTCTAAGTTGCTGATAGCCTTTGGGTTTAAGTGAAAACCTGCACTCAGGGCTCAAACACAGTATTAAGCTTTTATTAACATTTGTAGGGTTTTTTTGCTGTGGGGAAGAAAGATGTGGAGTTTGAAAGAAAAATTTGGCCATGACAGCTGGGCATTTTGCTGGGTGTTGAAATCATAGAAAAACAGACTGCTTCAGAAAAACGTGTGCATTAAAATAGATGTTTAGATCATTAAACTATCAAAGCATGGCTGACAGTGTAGTTCTACCATTTTGGTTTTTTTCCATGTAGCATGCTGGTTTAGAAATTTTCTGTATGTTGATGAACAAGCTTCTGTGTGTGAGTTATACTTTTGGCTTGCATGCAGCATTTTTGCATTTTCAGGGCTATAAGTAATACTGACTGAACTGACTGGACATTGTCTCAGCTGGAGAAGCACTATGAGATCTGCCCTTCATAAGTGGTAGCCTCCTTCCAGACAGGCCCATCAGCAGTCCAGTAGAAGGTGTGCTCTTCCGGATCCTCCCTGTCCCTCTTGCACACGTGCGTGCACGTGCACACGCTAACTCTTAATGTGTTCTTCCAAGTTGTTCTACAACTAAAGGGAAGCTAACTGTGCGATTCTAATACCAAATGCTAACACACTTTTCTGTCCACTTCTACAGGATGAAGGAATGTAATTAATTTGCAGATCTCACTATTTTCTGCGTACAGACAGAGATGGTCAGGCACACTCAGACAAAGAAGTCAGGAGTCACCATACCCCTCTCTCCCACGCTCCAAAAACCTACATTCCCCCCATAGTGCCCTTGGTGGTTGGAAATTTTGCAGAAGTCTGGAATATAATACTAGGGCTTGCATTTTGCTTAGCAAGCGAAAGCTCAGGGAAATCCAGGTTGCATCCCAACTGAGCTGGGGATGAGAGGGTGGATGAGCGCCGCTTCCCTTGTCTGTGTATCCAGGTTTCTTTTCCATGGGCTTCAGGATATGCTTCATCCCTGTATGAAATGTTCACTTGGGACACGCCCTGGGTAAATGAGCTTTTCTCAGTATGGATATAGCGCCTGTGTCTTAGGCCACTAAAATAAATTATTAGTGAGGAAGTAGTAAGGCTATCGGAGATAAGCGTTTAGGTTTCAGTGAGAATCTGGGCATAGGGTTGAAAGGTAAGGACGACCAAATACCTGTGAGCTTCAGCACTGGGGAGGCAATGATTTTGGAGCCGTTTTGAACAAAAAGTCTAGTCTAGATTGTTGGTCATTTACTGACTGTTAATATGCAGTCTTACAAAAGCATCTTTCCGTTTGTCTCAAGTTTGACCCAAAATCAGAAGATTTTGGGGATGACTTTATTCTCTTTTGAGGTTCTGGCTTCAGTTCTTCTCTAGCAGAGCAAGTCCCGCTCAAGTCACTCAGAGCACTTTATACAGCCATTTGCAGGAGATAATGTAATTCTTGTTCTCACCTGAGAGTCTAGAGAACTGAGATAACAGTTCAAATGGCCTATCCAAAATACACAGTAAATTAGCATAAGAAATGAGACAGGGAAACAAATTATTTTCTCCAGTCACAGGATTAAATTGCCTTTCCCTAACTCACTGCAACTGTTAAGAAATTCATGGGCCATTCCTCTTGCAATAACTTGAAAAGGGCAGACATGCCTTTTATGCTTCTTTCTGATGTAAGTGGTATTAAATATGCATTGTAGCTCAGTTACCTTAGATAACTGAGCATCAATTCATGCATCTTCCACTTGAAATTCTGTTCCCAAATGTAGCAGCTGAATATTCTTTCTTCTGTTTTCTACCTTTTTGAGGGGTTGGAGGTTTTTTGCTTTTGTTTTTAGAGAAGAATCTTGTTAGCATTCCTTAGAAACTCATTAAAATGCTTCCCTTTTGGCTTATTCTCCTAATTTATTAATACCACAAATAACTTTTCTTTAGTGACCCACTTTCATACGTATCTGAACATCTAGCAAAATTGTAACTCATCGGGAAGGTAGTGTAGACTAATAAATAGCATCTCCAGACAGAGAGGAAAATCAAGACACTTCTTCCTTTGCCACACAGAGTTCTACACACTACACATACAGAAAACAATACTCTATTCCACACCTTACTCGGCACCCTTACCCCAAAAGAAAGCACTTCATTGATTGCATGATTGATTTAAAGGTCAGAATTTAGGATTGCATCTATTCTCCTGGCTGAATACAATTTTTACCCTACATCTGCAGTGAAGAAACTGCTCTTTGCATAAATATAAATTGAAACATTGGTCTGTGTGAGTGTTCAAACAAACAGACTTTCTCTTACAGCTCCCAGGGCAACCTCCCAACACTACACTGTTACCAAAACCATTAGGGTTTGACTAAGATGCTGCCTTTTATTGAATTGTCGTACCTGCTTTGTGAAAAGTACAGATTTGCTTAGAAAAAGAGGATACCCACAGATTTAGTGAGCATGATGGTTAACGGGCTGTACAGACTCTAAGTCAGGCAGAGGTCAGCTAGTGTAGAAGAATACACTTATCTTCATACTCACTTATTTCAAAAGATGCAGAGGTTGCTTTTTGTGAACTGAAGCTATACAGACAGACTTATCGCAAGGGGTGGTTAATTACCCTGTGTCCTGCAGACACTCGAACACTGGTCATGTTTTAAGGGCAGTCTGCTCTGAGAGTGCAGTCTGTGGTCGTCTCAGCCCAAGGATACTCAGCATTGCCGCCCTCTCTCCAAAGTCTTCTGGATAGCAATCCCCTAACAGGAGAGCATAAGGCTTACTTGGTGACTTCTGATGAAGCTCTGTTTCCCTTTTCAGTAAGTGTGGACGTCTGTGTAAGTGTGAGAGCATCATGGTGGCGTTTAAAGGAGTCTGGACTCAGCCCTTCTGGAAAGCCGTTTCGGCAGAATTTTTGGCCATGCTCATTTTTGTCCTCCTCAGCCTCGGCTCCACGATCAACTGGGGTGGAGCAGAGAAGCCCCTGCCTGTAGACATGGTCCTTATCTCCCTCTGCTTTGGACTCAGCATTGCAACCATGGTGCAGTGCTTTGGACACATCAGCGGAGGCCACATTAACCCTGCTGTGACCGTGGCAATGGTCTGCACGAGGAAGATCAGCCTCGCCAAGTCCGTCTTCTACATTCTTGCCCAGTGCCTGGGAGCCATCGTGGGTGCAGGCATCCTTTACCTCGTCACACCACCAAGCGTGGTAGGAGGCCTGGGAGTCACTGCGGTAATCACTTCTCCTCCGGCTCTTGCACTAGACTAGCTTAGAGCCTAAGAAAGTATAATCAGTGTCATGCAGAATAAAGAGAGCTCAAGTAGAGATTTTAAGAGCTTGCTGGTTTATTTACAGCGTCTAGACAGGGCTTAAAGCTCTCCTTAGGATGGGTTTATGCAGCGTAATATCTATAGCTGTTCTTTTTATAGAAGTTCTCTTTCCTAGAACTTCCCCAAATCTGATGACAACAGGTATGTTAATTGACATACAAAATTTGAATAATATATGCGTGAAATGCCATTTTCATATGGGCTGGGGAGGGGGAAGTTAATTCTATGCCATTATGATGGGGACTGAAAACCCATCAATTTAAACTGACATACTTTTGAAATAGATTGTGGCTTAGATTTCAGCTTTGTGCTAAACTAATAAGGAATGCCATCAGTTAGCCCTGTTGCAGGACTTATTAAAAATGCACTTGAGCCATACACTGCTTAATTTTTAATTGAAATTTAAATTAATTAAGTCAGGGCTAATTAATGAATTTATAATTGAACAGTAAATTACAGTGCTCCCAAGAAAAAAATTGGTGAAGGGGAAGTGCAGCATTTGCAAATCCCTGTGTAAAAATAAACTATACTTCTGCAGTCTAACTTTGAAGTTCTTGTTGGGTGTTACTGTTAAGCCTTCTGTTCTCAGTCCAGCAGTAATTTTCCATGGCTCTCAAAATAAAATAAAATTAAAAAAATTTAATTAAAAGGGGAGAAAAGTGTGTGTGAGGGGAATTTGTACCTCTAAAAGTTCATTGTTGTCTTTGTGTACCATTTAGAAATACCTTTCCTGGAAATACAATTAATGTATGCAGTGGCTTTCTGATTTATAAAATCACCTTTGCTTATCTCCAGTGTTTCTTTCCCTTCTTCCAGGTGCACGGGGATCTTTCCGCTGGCCATGGACTCCTGGTGGAGTTGATAATTACATTCCAGCTGGTTTTTACTATTTTTGCCAGCTGTGATTCAAAACGAAGTGATGTCACTGGTCCTGAAATACAATTAATGTATGCAGTGGCTTTCTGATTTATAAAATCACCTTTGCTTATCTCCAGTGTTTCTTTCCCTTCTTCCAGGTGCACGGGGATCTTTCCGCTGGCCATGGACTCCTGGTGGAGTTGATAATTACATTCCAGCTGGTTTTTACTATTTTTGCCAGCTGTGATTCAAAACGAAGTGATGTCACTGGTTCAGTAGCTTTAGCCATTGGATTTTCTGTTGCAATTGGACATTTATTTGCTGTAAGTTAATGGCTTCTTTTTAAAAAGTAGACCCCTTGTCCCTTTGTGACTACTTCAGAAGTAAATGGAAACTTCTGTGGCCTTTATAGGTGCTATAGCTATATAGCTGCTATATTCTTTATGGATCCACGCCAAAACCCTTTGGAGTAGCAGGAGGGTCCCCTTGGGTAGGGTGTTGCATCAGAGCTTTTCTGCCTGTTTATGTGATGACTTTGTTAATTTTGTGATAAGACTTGGGAGAGTGACAATACCAGCTGTCAAGATTAAAAGCCATAAAAACCCAGGGTGTCCCATAGTACAAGGACTAGTAGAAATTGAATAATGACCTTCAAGACTTTAGTAACAGGCAACATTTTGTCTCTGCTTTAGATCAATTACACCGGTGCCAGTATGAACCCTGCTCGATCATTTGGACCTGCTGTGATCATGGGGAGATGGGAAAACCAATGGGTAACTCTGCTTTCATGCTTCCTTCACCATAGCAACAAACAGCTGTCAGAATTTTTCAAACATCATTTGCTTTTAGTTATCTATCCCAGTACGTCACATAGAGACCATCACCAAGGAAGACAGGCACTGAGACCTGCCACAAGCTTTGGTATAATTATGCTCCTCGCCTAGGACTGTGGTGCAGTATGCAACGCGTTGGAATAGCATCTTTATTCAGGGGCCGTTTTGTGGAGGTAGTAGCTGGGGTAGAAAGGAAATCATACAAAAAGTTCAAAACAAAAAAAGGCATCTAGTGAGACTGAAAGAATTGAACTGCTAGAAAGAAGAATCCTCCAAGGCAGATTGCAAACCCCCCAGTCACACTGGTGAGAAGTTATGGAAGTAATTCTGTCGGCTTCACGTTTCACCTGGTTCTGCAGCAAACTGGGGCAGACATATATAACATGAGAGCAGGGACCCTCTGTGGTCTGGTTCCTGGGGGAGAACCTGCCTCGGCAAATGCCCGCAGTGAGAGATGAAGGGGTTGCAGTCTGGTCTTTGCAGACCAGACCAGATGTTACCTGCTTCAATTTGAAAGTGTCATACCCTAGGAGTATTTGCGCAGGAAACAATTGGATAAACAGATTGTGAATGATGCAGTCATTTTCTGTAGCATCCCACTAGTAAACTTATTAAAAACCAATTCACATTTTATAAGGGAGAGATGGATTGCAGCTCAGCCTCACCTAATTAAAGACAGGAAAGCACTTCTAGGGACACTTTTAATGCTAACTGTAAGAACTGCATGTTACAGTGCATATAAGGATTTTCCTGATTTTTTTTTTAAAGTATGAAGCCCACATTGCTCCCACTGCAGCTAATAACAGAAATAGCATTGTCTTCAGGCCCTAAGGCTCCAATTCTGCAAACACGATTGTGTAACTTTGTTCCCAAGAGTTATCCTATTGAGGCAGATTTACCCAGTTATCAGTGAATGGCTTGTTCATACAAAAAACTGCTGTAGTTTTTCACGAGATTAATTATCCATATTCTGAGGGATCCTGTAATTTATAACTAAAGCTATAAACAATAAACAAATGTACCACGGAGAAACTTGTAGGAGAAGCTTAGCTACTGTCCGGGTCACTTGGAAAGATGGCCTTTTCTCCTCCTCCGGAGCAGTGACATTGGCATGCTATTGACAGAAGCCCGTGGGCTTCTGCACCTACTAATGTTACAGAACTGCTGCATGTCATGCTGAAATAGATAGGTACCCTACAAAGTTGTGCATGGCGGTTGTATTTGCTTATTCAAATTAGATAATCAGGTAGCTGACTGCCTGTTGGATTCTGCGGGATCAGGAGCCGAATTTGGATCATTTTGGAAATGTGAGTCTGAGATACTGAAGTAGAACTGTTTGCGTATGCACTAGGAAAGGTTTTGTTTCCTTAAAAATTCATTGTCGCCTTGGGTGAAAATGCAGGAAAAAAAAATCAGTTTTCTACATTGGTGTTTGTTTTGTGTGTCATCTTGCAAACAGTCCATATATGTTGTCTACAGCTGGCAATGAGCGATGAAAATTTAGAGGAGGCCTCTTGGCAAGAGACGGATCAATAAAACTTGACAAAACTATTTCTTTGGCAAAACTGCTTCTCAATCATCTTACCCCTGCTAGTTGAAAAGCAAAGCTATGCCAGAGCAACTGTATGTTGTGATTACAGAGCTGTATTTGACAATTCATACATGACTCCACCAGGATCTGTGGCCTTTTTTGTCTCAAGAAATGTTATAGCTATGGTTGATCCAAATAAGGATGATGAAGAACCTGTACTTTTGTCTCACTGGACAAAGTTTAAAAAAAAAAAAAAAAAAAAAAAAAAAAAAAAAAAAAAAAAAAAAAAAAAAAAAAAAAAAAAAAAAAAAAAAAAAAAAAAAAAAAAAAAAGTTAAATCTCCCATAAAGAGGCCATAAAGAGGGGAAAAAAGCTGCTTTCTATTAACAGGAGAAGGTAGGGCAGCCAGAGAGGATGCCTGCGTGTCTGTCCATGGGAGGTGTCCATAGCTTCACTGCTGCTCAGCTGGTCTGCCCCAAAACGTTGGTAACCAGGCATGTAAACTGAAATCTTTTTCAGGCATCAGGGAGGTAGTAACTGTACCTCACTGGCATGTCAGCATAGGTCCCTCTTCTCCTCTGCTCTGTGGGGTCCACTGCCTGGTGATTCCCTAAACGCTGGCACGAGAGGAGTTTTTAGGGAAGAGCCACACCCACGGATGCGAGATGGTTTAGATGACTGGATTCAAGGTGACTAGGGAGCATTTCTGAAGGGGGTGAAATATATGTAAGAGAGAGAGGCTGGGAGGAGGCAGAAAGCAAAAAAAAATTGACCTAGGACTAATGCCATTAACTGCCTAAGAGACTGCGTTTTGACCAACTTCATCTGTGATTTTTAGAGCAGTCGCTTAATTGCTGAGCTCCAGGTCACCATCTGTGAAACCTATGGTAGTTACATTTCTCTGCCTCATAAACTGGTACGATGGCAAATTCCATCCCGGTCCATGAAAGCCAGGGAACTATGTGACTGTGCATTTCTGGAGAGTTGGTTTTAACAATTGGGCTGGGGCATTTTGCAGAAACTTTTCTGGGTGAAGTCTGTAGTGACATACTTTTCTCTGAGACCCTGGGTTCTCCGTTTGCTCTAGAGCTTAATGCCCGTCTTTTTTCCACCTCTTTTTGCAGGTATATTGGGTGGGACCAATAATAGGAGCAGTCCTTGCTGGTGCTCTTTATGAGTATGTCTATTGCCCGGACGTTGAACTCAAGCGCCGTTTTAAAGATGTCTTCAGTAAGGCTACCCAGCCATCCAAAGGGAAGTACATCGAGGTGGACGATAACAGGAGCCACGTAGAGACTGATGACCTGATCCTGAAGCCTGGCATAGTTCATGTGATTGATATCGACAGGGGTGAGGACAAGAAGGGAAGAGATCCATCCAGCGAGGTGTTGTCTTCTGTATGACTAGCAAGAAGCACTGAAAGCAGAGAGCAGCCTGCTAGCACGTCCACAGATGTCCTTCCACCTATTAAAGAAACAGATCTCCTCTAGACTGAGCATCTACCGCTTATTAAAAGGTATGGTGTGGGCAGCTGCATGGTAGTGGTGTCACCAAACCATACACCTGCTCAGTTGGAACATTAGGACTTTGCTGTAATTAGGATTCCGCATCTATTATTCCAACTTAAGAGTTGTTCCTAGTATTTTCCTTTCCTTCTTTCTGAAGCAACCCCAAAGTCAAAAAAAGAGATGAAAGCATTCCCCTTTAATAAATCAGTCAATAATGAGATAAAGATAGAGATGTTTAACATTCAGATTGACAGTTAAGACGTATCAGGAAATGCCTATAGACATGAAGACCTACTTACCAGATTGTTCTTCTGACACTTAATTGGCTGTTGTCAGCTCCGATTAGAACATCTTATCCATTAAGCATTCTCTATGAGGTTCAGGGACAGCACCAACAGTGTTTAAGAGTTTTATCCACAGTCAAGCAAAGGGGTATTGTTTCCACTCATGTACATCACTATTGCCTTGCAAACTACCTCGGAAAAAATGATACTTTAATAGGTTTTAAAAAAAAAAATCTTATCAACCCATCAAATTTCATTCATGTGATTTGCAGTATAAATATATTACCTTCATCCCTTCCTGAGAGTAAATACGCTGAAATTGAATGTTGAAGTCTACTGTAATAAGGCTGCAAAGCATTTGACTGTACTTCATGCTCCCTCTTGTCATTGTCTATCTGGTGAAACATTCTCCTGGGGTTTGACTATTGACCATTTAGTGTTAGCAGACTCTCAAGGTCATGCAAAGAATATAAAGGCTTTCCTGTTACTTAATAACTCAAATAAGAGATACCAGAAGAAAAGAAGGCATATCTGTTTTCAGTGCACTTGTTCAAATATACATTTCTGTGCTAATTTATGTAAACTAAAGGTTTAAATTACTTACCTACTTCTTACAAGATGGTTGGAGATATGGTTTTTTTAATTTATCAGTAATGTAGAGGGTTTTTAACTTTTAACTGTATTGAAACACTGATTGGGAAATATTTTTTTATAATGGATGATAAAAATATGACTGCTTCTGGCTTTTTGTTGTAACTGATGCATAACTATTTGAACAGGATCCATGCTTGTTCCAGTGTTCATACAGTCTTAATTACACCTCTGGCAAAGGTTTCTTTATCTGTTGTTAGGAAAAGACGCAAGCACTTGCAGGGTTTTTTAGGGGGAAAGGGATGTGAAATATGTTCAGTAGTCAGTCTTTCCTTTATAGAAGTATTTTGACAGATATAATCACCCCAGCAGAACATTTCTGTAAAGCTGTTACTGACTTACTGCTTTTGTTTCTATCAGTGGCTTTGAGTTTTACAATATGCAGCTGCAGAGCAGTCAGGAGCATGGTATTATTACTGTAATTATATAGTTTTTTATTTTGAAATTGAAAAGCTACTCCTGCCTATTTAGCAATGAGAGGTGAAAAAAAGCATTAGTCCTGACTGTGGGCTGTAATAGCCTTGTCTGTTCTTTGACGTACTCTACATGGAATCTTTATTACAGGGAATTAGATGTTTCTAATGAGATAATAAACCACTGCTACCCTCAAATCTGTGCACGATGATCCAAGGGCAATTCTGCTATCCCAACCTGCGGCACTGTGTAGTCCCAGCATGTCCTGCCATACTCATTTTCCTAGTCTCACACTTTTCTTGTCTTAAAACCTGTTAGTGTGGCGCAAACTCCCTGCATTGAGCATGAGATTCATGACTCCTTCATGCATTTGCAGTTGGGCCGTGATCTCTCCCTTATTCCACCCAGGCACAGCATGTAGCACACGTGGGCGCAGGACAGGGCTTCCTTGGGTGACCCAGCGACAGCCCCGCTCCCGACGCGTGAGCCCTCTCGCCAGACACACTCCCCGTCACATACCTGTTGCAGCATCACAGCAGCAGCTGCCTGTGGAGTCTGGTAAAACAGCTGATACTTGTCCTTAGCTGTGCCCCGACACACTGACAGCATCACGGTTCAAGGGCATGAGCGTGGTCAGGGACAATATCAAATCGCAGATAAGAGCTTCTTCCCACAGCAAGGACTAAGTCTCCTGAGGAATGGCAACACAGCTGTGGTGTTTAGACCCCTGCATAGCTCTGCTCAGATGGGTAAATACCACACTAAATAGATTCAATGAGAAAGATAAAAACTTGTGGGGGTGTTTTTGTCTAGCATTTGTTCTGGCTTTTTTTTTTTTCCTTCAAATGCTGTATTTGTTAAAGGGAGACTTTGATTAAACCTTTTGCATGGCTTAAACAGGTGAAGTAAAGAGTAATACACATAGCACCAGTGGATTTTTAAGCAAAGGTTTGCATAAGACACTCCTTAGAAGCTCTTAATTTGTGAATTTTGCACGGTCCTGTGTTATTTAAATAAGGAGCTGTGATTTGTTTTATGCTTAAGGGTCCTTTACACAAATGGCTTGATTTTCCTCAGCCAGCCTGATTCTGCTGCTGAGGTGAGCATAACACAAGCACAGCACCAGCCACCTCAGTTAGGAGGATTTTTTTCCTCAAAACGCTTTCTATTAATGAATTGTGGCAAACGCTCAGAACCAGTCCTAGGAGAACTCCTCGCTCAAAGAGAGTATTGGAGATAAGAGGCTCCTGAAAAGATTAGGGAAAGAAGGGAAGCTAAAATAAAGAGACCACTAGACAGTAAAGGATGTTGCCATGCCATTGGACATTAGTAGGAAAGCAAGATATGGCAGGTCTACTCCTGCTCCCACAGAACGAGACTCATTGAAGAGTTTGTCATTGACTACAGTGGAAATGACCCTGAGCTTTTTTGGGGCCTGATGGCTTCTGTCTTGCACTTCACTGTGTTTCTTCCAAAATCAGAGTCTTTCAGCAAGATACTTAATTCTGGAAGGAGGTGTGTTCGACTTGAGGTTTATGACCCACCCTAAAGTAAATCCTGAGGAGTGGCTGGGGGGGCAGGGCGGTCCTGCGCCCCTCCATCAAAAAT